TCATCCAGCCCTGCACCTTGTTGTCTCATATGTCAATGTTTTGTTTGTGTTGCACATTTCTCTTTTAATTCCATCTTGTGCGCGTGATTTTGCTCCTCTTCCTCTACAACACTCCATCTTCACCCACTGAATTACTCTGTATTATATTAGGAATTAGAACTGTCCAGTACCCTATTTGTACAGTATGTACTTTATTTAACATGCTTGATTAAGGTACGGAAAATTGTAATTTGGACAGGCAAATATGAGAGAGGTTTCTGGCCAGTCAGTGAAGAGAAAAGAGAAGAGAGAAAATCTCAGCCTACAAAGGGAAAATACTGGAATATAACTGTCAAGTAAAACAAAAGTAATCAACATGTATGTTTAATGCGATACAGGTGGAAAAAGACTTGAGTTGCAGTGATGTCTGTGGAAATGTTATAACATGGGTGGGAGTGGTCTTGGAAGCAAAATGTTTGAAATCCTTGGGCTAGGGCATGGTCTTCTAAAATGTGGTAGGCTGTTGACCTAGAAGAAAGAGCCTTGCTGTATATCTGGTTAACTTATACCTGATCCAAATGTGCTTGATGCTGATACAAAACAGAACCATGTTGCAGATCCTATCACTTCGTGAAATTATTCTCCAGTCCCACAAAAGCTCTGGTTAAAGCCTTTTGTATGTTCATAAAATATAATAATAATTAATCATTAATAAATCAGGGATTCAACGTGAACAAAATGATAATTATAGATAGAAATTTAGATGTGCCATAAAGCTTAAGAATATTGTTGCTATTTCTAGTGAAGTTAATTTCCTAAAGTCGTTTTTGAGCAGGTTTGGAATGTCAGTTACTATAAATCAAATGTGTGATGTTCACTTCCTGTCTTGTTTCATGCTTTGTTGAGGGAGCTGTGACTTGTATTTCATGTGATGTACTTAGACATTCGGTCACAGGTATCAGGAAATCTTAACTCATTTCAATTGTTTACACTTGTTTTCTTCCTTTTGTCTTTGGGTGTGTCCATCTGCCTAATAGCATGCCACGTGGTTGCTGGTAAAACAGGAAGTAGGGTAAGTAATTATTCTAGGTAATTATTTTCTTTGTGCTTGTTTTGCAATAATTAAATACTTCATCTGAAACTGCTTTCATTTTCAAAGAACCTATTCTTTGAAATTGCATGGCACTGTAAAAACTTGCTAAAGCTTTTGTGTAATTGAAGATCATCTTATTTAAGAAACTTTATTTTTTCACTGTCTTTTTAACTTCTGTCACCAATTTTGTCTTAATATATGATTTAACCACTTTCTACTTTAACCCTGCACCTTCCAATCTCCTGTCCTTCATTTAAACCAGTGAAAATGAAATTTGACAGACAACTAATTTTTCTGATTTCAGGTACCAAGTATGATGTTGCTTTTACATAGCCACATGGAACAGAAAGACTTAAATACTGTTCAATCTTTGGTATCTTGAGAGATAATTAAAGCTTTCATAATTTGTCAAAATGTCAGTTTTGTTTTTTGTGGAATTCCTAAAACGTTTTCCCAAAGAAAGATGAAGCATATTCGTGGTTTATTGTTATTGACGAACTGGAGACCTTTTGAAATGTTTGAGCACTTCTCGCTGTAAGATAGATCTGTTTTAAAAAGGTCTCAAACCATGTTAAATCCACTGTCAAGTCACTGACTGTGTTGTAATGGGCCACTGTCCTTCTCAGATTAATATTTGTAAAGAATGACTCCTCAAATCCTACGCATTTTCACAATTCCTAATTTAAAGGTTCTCTTAGATCATAGAATCCCTACAGTGTGGAAACAGGCCCTTTGGCCCAACAAGTGGGCACACCGACCGTCAGAGCATCCCACCCAGACCCATCCCACATAACCCACACATCCCTGAACACTATGGGCAATTTAGCACGGCCAATCCACCTAGCCTGCACATCTTTGGACTGTGGGAGGAAACTGGAGCACCTGGAGGAAACCCAAGCAGACACGGGGAGAATGTGCGAACTCCACACAGACAGTTACCTGAGGGTGGAATTGAACCCATGTCCCTGGTGCTGTGAAGCAGCAGTGCTAACCACTGAGCCACTGTGCTGCCCTGTTTCTCTTCTGTTGAAAGTCCTACCAATTCCCTTTTCTTGATACAATGGGACTCTTTATGGTACATTGAGACTAACAATGTCTTTTTGCTGCATTTTACCTGATATAAACCAAGCTTTGTGGCTGAGATTGGTTGCTTCATGTAAGTTTTTTTTTGTCTCTGCGGTCTGCTTGAGAGTTGTGGACCTCTCAAATGATTTTTAAGTTTTGAAAATAAATTTTAACCATGGGATATTACTTTTCAAAGGAAATTGCTCGTAACAGGTAAGGGGAAAAGTAGGAAACTAAAACTGAGTAATTTGGTAAAGGTTCGGATATTGAATTATTTCATATTTGGAGCTCAAGTCAATTTGCCATATTTTTCAAATTAATGAGCAAAATGACAATTTTTGTTGTTGATCATTTGAGGAAATTATTAACTTTATAATATATTGCATTTTTTATTCTTTTGAAAAGCAGCTGTACACTTTGGACAATTTGTTATAATAGGAGTATTGTTTTGGCTTTGTGCGGTTATTATATGATGCATGATGTGTGTCATTGAGACATGTCATTTTGAATGCTGGGGTTTGAACTCAGTAGTTGCATGTTTTAATTGAACCACTAGGTGGCACTCACTTCTGACAAGTAAAGTGAAGGGACTTTCCTTAAAGAAAGCACCGCAGATAAAAACAAAGTTCTAAGCCACACAAAAACTTTGCATACCTTTGCTTGACAGTTGGAAATACATTTTCTGTAACTTCTGTTATCATTCTATAGATAGTTAAGGACATAACCAACTAAAGAAATCCAATTCTGTTTTGTTTTTGTGTTTCCTACCTTTAGCTAAGAGGTTACGGGGGTCTTGGATATCATCTCTTCTGTGGCTTTTCCTTTACAGTTTTGTTTTCTCTTGGAGTAAAAGTCAGGACCACATCTAATATCTCTGAATGGGATGTTGTGCTGCTCCATAGACTTGAGCATTGTGAAATTGTATAGTGCAGGAAAGAGTTTCAAAATATTAATCATGCCTGAGATTCAGATGTAATCTTTCATTGATTGTTCACAACTTCAGTTGTTAGCTTCCTAACTAGCTGAGTAAATATTTTTGAAAAGAAGTATTTTTTTTGATGCAATGAACAATCACAAGGCATTTCAGTGAACAATAATTTGGAAGGCTTAAGGCAAGTGAGAAAGGTATAGTAAATGTGGAAGGTGGCAATTATAAGTTCTTTCTCAGGATGTGGGTGTCCCTCGCTCAGTGAACACTTATTGCTATCCCTAATTATCCTTGATAAGGTGGTGGTGAGCTCTCATCTTGAATGGTGTAGGTGCGTCCATGGTACTGTTAGGGAGGGAGTTTCAGAATTTTGACCAAGTGACAAAAAAGGAACAGTGATATTTTTCCAAGTCAGAATGATGTGTGGCTGGAGGGGAATTTGCAAGTGGTGGTGATCTCATCTATCTGCTGCCCATGTTGTCCTAGGTGGTAGAGTTTACAGGTTTGGAAAGCGTAGTTGAAATGGTTTTGGTTAAATGCTACTGTGCATCTTGTAGATGGTACATTGGCGTAGCAACTACATTATGGTGAAAGGAATCAATGCTTTAAGGTGTTGGAAAAAGTGCCAGTGAAATGAGTAACCTTGTCTAAAATGTTCCAGACTTCTTGGGTAATGTTGGAGCTGCACTCATCTAGATCATCACGCTCCTGAATTGTGTCTTGAAATGGTGGGCAGGCTTTGGGAAATCAGGAGATTAATTATTCACCACAGAATTCTCAGCCTTCTCTTGTAGACACAGTATTCATAATGACTTGTCCAGTTCAGCCCCAGGACGTTGATAGTGGGGGATTCCGTGAAGGTTAGATATTCGCTTGTGCATATTATCATTGCCTGGCACTTGTATGAATATCACCTGCCACTTATCACTCCAACCCTGAATATTGTCCAGGCCTCCTTACATATGGACACCGACTACTTCAGTATCCAAAGAGTCACCAAAGGGATAGTTTTTGAGGACACATGCAAGAAGTCAGAGAGATAAAAATGTAATAAGTCGGGGAGAGAAAGAGAAAGGAGGCCGCTGTCTGTGGCCTGGAGAAGATAAGGTGTTTAGCAGATAAATACAGATTAAAAACATTTCGAAATAATGCAGTGATGGATAATTAATTTTGCTTTGCAAATGTTAACCTAGGTCTTTTCCCTCAGGTGGGGGAGTTCAAAAGTAGGGGCTATATTTTTAAGGTGAGAGGAGAAAGATTTCAAAAGAACATGAGGGGCAACATTTTTACACAGAGAATGGTTCGTTTGTGGAACAACCTACCAGAGAAAGTGGTGGATGCAGGTACACTTACAACGTTTAAAAGACATTTGAATAAGTACATGAATAGGAAAGGTTTGGAGGGATATGGGCCAAGCGCAGGCAGATGGGACTAGTTTAGTTTGGGAACATGGTCGGTGTAGACTGGTTGGACTGAACGGTCTGTTTCTATGCTGTATGACCCAATGAGAGTGACATGACCAGCAGTATTGTCAGAGCAGATTTGCAAATGGCTCTGCATTTAATGAGTCATAGTACAATATTTCTTTTTATAGGGCTACAAATGAAGAAGTAAAACTTAAAACTTTCTGGCTGTATTCAACTAATAATTAACATGAAAATGGCTGCTTGTTGGGAATATAGTGTGAGTGGATGCAGTTTTGATCTTTATTTCATTCACAAAGGCTAGATAATGGTTTATTAACATTGAAAGTCAGTAATATGTGATACAGAGGCTCTCAATAGAAACAGGATCCTTTAAACAAGCATTCAGGAAAAAATCTGATTTAGATTTGCACGTATTAGCTAGCACAGGGACAAGGTAGGGGAGGAATAGTGAGCAGTCAACCTTGAATAAATGTTTTGCTTTCAATGCAGCAGCCTAAAGGGTGAGGTTCTACTGTTCTGCGCAAAATCCATTTGACTGTTAACTAAAATGGGGTTCTTTTTAAGATTTCAAAAAATGTTTATTTTGTGTATTTAATTACTCGTGGTAATTTTCAGTAGTATCATTTCCTGCATTTTTATAACTTAGTTAAACACTGATAAATAACCTGTTTCCTCAAGATGCCAATGAAAGCAATTTAGTTTTGCTGCACTTTCTCTGTCTCCATTCACTTTGTCCCCCCTTTCATTCACTCCCTCTATTCCATCTCCTTTCATTTTAACTTCTGTTATTTCTTGTTAAAAAATTTCCTATACATCTGATTTATCCTATTCAAAGCACTTCCTTTTACAAAAAAATTATCAAGTTAAAATGTTTTTTGGTGCCATGTTTATTCCTGGTTACTGCTGTCCATTTTGGAGATAGGAACAAATGTTGAAGAATGAATTTTTAATTTCAATTTGTTGAATTATTAGTAGCTTACTAATAGTAATTTGACAAAATCATGTCAATTTTTAGTGCGAATTTAGGAATGGATTGCCCCTGAAGTCTGGCATTAGCTGGACCATTCTCCTAAAGCAGTTTGAAGTCATGTGTGACACATGTAAAATTTCAAGAACTAGAAATCCGGTTTCCTCTTTCTATAAATAAACATGTATTGTGCAGCTTTGTGAAGAAATCAAAACCCTTTACCTCGATTCCACAAAGATTAGTTTCAGCAATGAGTTGGGGCTTTTGAAAGGAAATGGAGAAACAAGCTGACTCAAAAAAAAATCGAGGAATTACAGGACAATGAATCATCAAGTGAGAAAATGTGGAACAAGTAAAAGTCACTTAGTTTAAGAAGCCCATTTGTTTTCACTGGTATTTATTTAATTTTTATTGTGCCTGTACCCAACCTGTTAACTAAATTTATTATTTTATTCCACCAGCAGGATTATAAAACCAGGGAAATGCTCGATCAATGATCCTGCTGTTAGGGTAAAGGAGCTGGGTCTGGTTCTATGAAGAATGCTCAGCTGCCAAAATCTGAACTAAACAGATGCCAATAATGCCATTCTACAGTTTATTCAGTTCTAGTTGACATCTAGTTTTTGCATAAAACCTCCAGCAAAGTTTCTCCTCAATGTTTTCAGTAAATCTCTAAAACTGCTATCAAATCATATATCATAATAAATGTTCACGACTTACTAACACCTTTCAAAGGAAAGTTTTTATAATCCTCAGATCTGTTTATAACCAGATGCACATCTAACTTGTTCAGACTTAAATAACTGTCGTAATGTTAATTGCTTTACTGGGCTGTCTGTCACCCTATTCATTTTTTTTGAGGATGTGAAGAAGATGGAGTAAAAATGGAAAACAAAATACAAATTACTCAATTTCAACATTTCAAACCATTTCTTCCTCATGTTCTGCCCAATGAAAACAAATGCCATAGTAAGAGCAAAACTTACTTGGATCATTGTCTGAACCGTGAGATTACAACAATAGCAGCAAAAACAGAATTTGTTGGAGAAACTCAGAAGATCTGGCAGCATCTGTGGAGGGAAAGCAGAGTTAACATTTCAGTCCAGTAACCTTTCAGAACTGAGAATACAAATTTTGATTTCCTTTATTATAGTTTTGAAAGTTTAAGTTAAATTGTTCATTCAAGCATTAAGGGTGGTTTCCATATCCAGTTTGTAGAATGGGATGTGCAAAAAGCCCTGGGAATTTTTTTTAATGTAGCTTGGAGTTTAGAACTGTCTAATTTATGTGTACGATGGAGATAAAATATTTAATACACACAAGTTTTGTTGTAATTTTGACACTGCAAGTATTATAAGACATCATTATTTGTCAAGGTTTTTGTGTAACTGGAGCGCTCATGTGGTTTGTATGCAGAATCTTGAGTGTGCTACTGTTATAACAGTTCCAGCTGTAGGTTTACTCTATAACCTGAAATGTTTCTGAGATGAAATAGTAAATTAGCTTCTCCTTGGTTATGGGGTGTAAATTAAAATCCAGGCTTACTGTGCATTGCAAAGCCTGGCAATTTAATTTTTCATTTAGATTTGATCACAAGTTTATGCCTAAAACGGTTGCACAATTTCCTTTACTAATAATTTTTAATGTTACTATAATCACTGCACCTGAAACCATACAATCCTAGTTTTCCAAGTTCTAATGCTATTCTGGTCATTTAAGTTTACTGCATAACATGAGATTTGGAGGAGATTTTAAGTATGAAACTCTTCTTGTTTAACAGACAACTGGGAAATGTTTTAATGAAGGATGATATTTTACAACTTAAAGAAGTCTACAAGTGGATAACTCATCCTCTGCTTTCTGAGGAACTGGGTGTGCCTGTGGATGGGAAGGTGCAGTATTTGCTCCACAATTTCAAGATGATCTTAGGCAATGTTTATTTTTATTACAATTGCAGTTTCATAATTCAACATGTTAGAATGTGGAAATGTAGTGCAATGCATTAGAAGGGTTTATTTTTAGAATTATTTTACTAGAACTACTGAAACGCTAAATTGGTTGCCTTTTTAAGAAATAAAATCTTATTGACGTATAAGAATATTTGTGAATTGCCCATATTTTGAAGGAAAAATGGATGCAAAACACGTAACTACTTTATATTATATTCTTTTCAATTAGAAATAAGCTGGTTTTGTTTTTTTGATAAATAATTCTAGCATTTGGTTACTTTCTTGAAATGGTCAGACAGAAACTTTTAGCTAAACTACACAATTGCCATATCAATTTATTTACTGGAGGATAAACTGCCTTTGTTTCAATGCTAGAGCTTATTTGAAGTAAGTGTGGTTTTCGCACACCCTGAAACAGATGGGGATTGCCACTTTCTGTAAGTTGCCCTATTTATTATTTTCCTACTTGTTGAATGCTAATACATTTTTAATAGTTTATTTATATATAACCAACTTAATGTCAGTAGCAAATTGTCACTTGTGAAATATGAATGAATAAATTATGCTTTCTTTTGTTATCAGTACAGTATTAAGTTTCTAGAATTGTCAAAAGAACTTGATTTTCACTTTTTTTAATTGTGTTGTATCAGTTTTCATTCTTGACAAAAATGAAATCCTTTGAGAAAATATGCAGTAAAGAATGTGTTTTTAGCCCAGTGTCTCCTATTTTAAATGAGTTTGTGCAGTCACAACCCAGAAGTGAATACTCAAATCATTACCTAAATTTATGAACAAGAATATTCTGAGCACTACTTGTGAACACTGCTTTCTAACTTTCTCCAATCTGAATGATTACTGTTTTGCCCTGATCTCTATTTCCATTCCTTAGACGATTGTTTTCCATTCACTTATTTGTCCTCAATTCCACACATCCTAACCTTTGTCATGAACTTTCTGTGTGGCATCTTATCAAACAGGGTTTGATAAGTATATGGCATACTACATTCTCCTTGCATGTGCTTCCCATGATAGAATTCTTAACCTTTTGGAGCCCATGCTTTTTTTTTTAATTCTTTTCTCTAATTTTTTGTGTACACTTCTTATTATTCCAGCATTATATAGTTAAACTATTTTACATTTCCCGAGTTCTGTTCTGTCTCCCATTTTGTACATGAAGACAACATTAGCCAACCCTTGTTCTCTGACACTAGTCCCTCATCTGTAAATCTCCTGTACGTATAAAACAACGTAGCTGCTACCTGCTCTGTGGTTTGAGTCTGCCTGAGTTCAAACTATTTTGACTTGGAGAATTGCCCTCTTAGTTTTGCTACTTTGTCAATGATTCTTCTCCCTCTCTCTAACTTAATTGGATTAATAGAGTCATACAGCATGAAAATAGACCCTTTGGTCCAACTAGTCCACGCCGATTGTGTTTCCAAACTAAACTAGTCCCACCTGCCTGTGCTTGGCTTATACCCGTACAAAACTTTCCTATTCATGTACTTACCTAAATGTCTTTTAAATGTTGTACCTGTATCTGCATCCACCACTTCTTCTGGTATTTCATTCCACACATGAACCATTCTCTGTGGGGAAAAAAAATGTTGTCTCTCATGTCCTTCTTAAAAATTTTCTCCTCTCATCTTAAAAATATGCCCCATAGTTTCTCTCATGCTCAGGAAAATACCTTGCTATTCACCTTATCTATGCCCCTCTTAATTTTTTTACACCTAAATAAGGTCATCCTTCAACCTCCTACGCCTGAGTTTAAACAGTGCAAGCATATCCAGCCTATTTTTATAACTCAAAGCCTCCATTCCGGGCAGTAACCTCTTAAATCTTTTCTGAACCCTCTTCAATTCAGTAATATTTTTCCTACAGCAGGGTGATCTGAACTGCTCAGTATTACAGAAAAGACTTCATCATCGTCCTGTATAACCTCAAGATGACATCAAACTCCGATACTCCAAGGACTGAACAATGAAGGCAAATGTGTTAAATGCCTTCTTAACCACCCTGAATACCTGTGACACAAATTTCAAAGAATTATATACCTGAACCCTTAGGTGTTTCTGTTCTACAACACCACCGAGGACCCTACCATTAATTGTATAAGCCTTGCCCTGGTTTGTTTTACCAAAATGCAATACTTTACATTTCTCCAAATTAAACTCCATCTGCCACTCCTCAGCCCATTGTCTGCTATATCGCAAATTTTGGTGTCATCTGCAAATTTACTAACTGCTATATTCTCATCCAAATCATTTATATAAATGACAAATAAAAGTGGACTGATGCCTGCGGAACACCACTGGTGACAGACCTCCAGTCCAAGAACCAACCCTCTATCATCACCCTCTGCCTTCTACCGTCAAACCAATTTTGTATCCAATTAGTGAGCTCACCTGAATCCCAGGTAATCTAACATAACCTACCATGCAGAACCTTTTGAAAGACTGGAGTTGAACCTGGGTTCCAGGCACTGTGAGGCAGCACTGATCCACCATTCCATCTCAGGTAGATATGTTTTAAAAAAGTTATAAATAAATTCATAACTTTTACATGTTAGAAGTACCACCCTTTTATAAAAGAAAAGGACCCTTTCCTGCCCTTGCAGCCTCCCTCTGTCTCCCAATATGCTTTGCAGCCCAATAGAAGTGTCAAGCTTTCAGACCCTTTTGGGTTTCAATCTCTGAAAACACAAGATACCGGAACGTGGATGTTCCCAGCTATGTTAACATTTATTGTTTATCCTTAATCTCCAGAGCTTGGCATAGGTGTCAAGAGTGGCCATGGGTGGAAGGAGGGTTAGACCTTGGTATGGGAGACATGAGGAGGACCTCTCAAACTTATTTTCAAGATGCTTCCTCATGCAGATTATGTTTCATGGCAACCCTGTTGTACCGAGAATTACAACCCTTTAAAAAATGTGGTCTGCCTCAATGAAAATTGTGGAGGAGTAGGTCACATCTATTGCTACAGTGGGACTGGCCAGGATGGACTGTAGGGTGCAGGTTGGCAACCTGAACTAGCTCCGTACTCTTAACAGCCCTAGTGAAAAATCGAAAATCCCTTGAATGGAGCAGGAAATGTTCATGGCTATGCAAGAAGATTTAAGGGACTACACATCCAAATGAAAGGCTGTGCATAATGGGGGGAAAGCATTCGGGACATTGGTATAAATGAGCTGCAACAATTATTGGTGTGAATACATGCATATTTGTAATTCTAGATAAAACACTTCCCTAAATATCCTCTGTACCGTGTTTTCCTGCTGTTATAGTTAACTGTGGATAAGGAAGTGAGCCATTGTACTTCTCCAGTCTGTAAAATGACTTGCAACATCATGTCCAATAATACCATGCTAGTTTGAAATTTGAATTACTTGAGATAAAAGAAAACTGGAAAGTCAATGTGTGTCCTTTTTGAAATCAAGATTCTGCTGACGTTGAACACTTCAGATTGGGTGACTAGAATTCAGTGTTTTAAATATAATGCTGCCTTGTAGAAAAGAAAATATAAATTCGAGCTTTAAAGTTATGCTCTTGTTAGAATTTTCATAGTTGTTTTTATTATTAATCCAGGGCCACTGCATGTCGAGAGTGCTTTAGACCAACAAAAAACAAACAGGTATTTTTATAACGATTTTTAATGTTTGGCCTAAATTAATTTGAAAGCTTTTTGTAAGTTATACTTTTGTTTAGATAGCATCCTATTCATCACTCAAAATGCACAGGGCAGCAGGTGATTCGGCCCTTGAAAACCCCAAATGGCCTGGGCAGTTTCAGTCACAGGATTGACTGAACATGGGAAACTCGCCTTGTAAGTAGACTGGAGGGAAAGGGTGAGGAACTGTTCCGATGTATCAGCAGCAAACTCAGTCAAGAAACAACCACTGACTGGCCAAGCTGCAAACGGCTAGGTGAGTAAGAGTTGGCAGTGCGAGATCCGTGGGGGAACAAGATCCAGAAGTGCGAGGCCAAGAGCCGAGATCTAGGAGCAGTAGTGAAGAGGACCAGGAACCAGGGCCAGTAGTGGCCTGTTTGCCAAGGTAGCCATCTGCCTGAGGGGCCAGGGGTGTTGGAGGAAGGAGGAGGCTGCAAGGGGACTTGGGGGAACAGGGAGGCTGCAATGTGGGATGGAAGGTACTAAAGGAAGAACAGTTTCAAACCTGTCAACAAAGCAACACTGCCACATTGGAGCTAGAAAGACTTGGAATCACTGGGCTAATGGATTACTTGCAAGTGAATGTAGTGTATCTAACTGAAGGTTACGTATGTTCAGGAGCTATAGGGGGAAAATGTAGTGGCTGTTGTTGTAATAAACACTCTTTCAGTTGTTAAGTTGAAATCTGAGATTTCAATGTGAGAGGCAGTAAAAAGGGAAGTAACTGCCTGGTTGAAATATTCCAGCTTTGTGCAAATGCAATGGAAATATAGTAGCTATTATCTTATCAGTATGTGGAAGGTATGTTTAGGGTGATGGCTCTTCGTGTGCAGAAATATGTGTCAGTTATTTTATGCCTGTTGTACTATTGCTTTGTGCCAAATTAAATATGTGGTGTCTGAAAGTTAGTACTCCTTTATGACTTGTGACTTCAAGTTTAATGGAGTCAATAGTATTGAGGATACTGATGAATTATTTTTGTGTAGGTCCAAGTATCCCAAATGTAAAAGGAAAAGATGATGCAACTATGTGACTGTGTCACCTAATAAAGAGAGAATGAAAATTTAGCCCAGAAAATCAAAAGGTTGTCTTCAAGAGCCCTCATTTTTTTGAGGGTGTAGTTGGGATATTTTATATCCTGATTCAAGTGTTCAGTAGTGAAATTGCTGGTCTCATATTTTGCAATTACTGACTCTGATTCATTGCTTTCATTTAGAAGTAATGTTTCAGTTCGAATGAAGGGGAATACACCAAATAGTCATTCCATCTCCCTTTAGAAGACATCTTGTAAGTGTTTTTGGAGACATAGCCTTAGCTGCCCTGCTTGTTCTCAAGGAAGAACACTGTAACTTAGGATAATTCATAGCTTGCTCCCACATTGTAGGGATTCTGTTTGGCCCATCGAGTCCATAGCAATCTTCTGAAGAGCATTCCATGCAGACCCAACCCCCTACTCTATCCCTGTAACCCTGTATTTCCCATGGTTAATTCACCTAGCCTACACATCCTTGGACACTAAGGGCAATTTAGCATGGCCAGTCCACGTAACCTGCATGTCTTTGGACTGTGGGAGGAAACCGGAGCACCTGGAGAAAATCCGCAGAGACATGGGGAGAATGTGCAAACTCAACGCAGACAGTCTTACGAGGGTGGAATTGAACCAGGGTCCCTGGTACTATGAGGCAGCAGTGCTAACCACTGAGCCACTGTGCTGCCCATTTTATGGGTTATTTGGCTATTTGTCATTAATCAGAAGGATTTGGTATAGATTCAGACAAATTAAAACAGAATCTAGCTTTACTCTTCAAATCTTAATGTGCAACCTACCCTGGAATTCAGAATTTTTAACTGAGTTTCAGTTTGTTTGACATATGTAAAGTCTTCTTTAATGAGCTTTTACTAACTATTGGCCATAGTAGCAAATCTTGATATTTAAAGAGGTAAACAGAAAACGCATGAATAGGAATATCTGAAGTAACAGAGAAGTACTTGGAATGTAAATTAATTTAATCTGAACATCAAAGAAAAAGGAAATTTGTTTCAGCGTAGATCCCAAACTTTGTTGCACAGGCTAGTGGAGTGAGAAGATGTCAAAGTGTGTCGAAGCTAGCTGATTGCAATGAAATTTTGTTTTAATTGTTTTAGTTGGATTGAAGCAATTGTATTATTTGAGTGAGTGATTTAAGTCACTTTATTAGTGATGTCCAACTTGCTTTGTCAATGTTTTCTGAAAATAACAGATATCTTGAGTGAAGGACAACTTGTGTTTACATTTCATTTTTAAGGTGGTAAAAAAATCCCAAGATTTCAGAGGAAATTATTGAACAAAACTTGACATTAAGAGTGAAAAGGAGATTTTAGAACAGGTGAGACATGGGCGTAATGGAGCTTCTCAGTGGAGGAGAGAGTATAGGGAAGGGACATTTTGAGAAAGATATCTCCAAAGCTTATGGTCCAGGCACCAAAGGGACCCTTGTCACTGCTGGAGTGATTTTAAAAACCACTGATGCCCAAAATATCAAAATTAGAGGCGTGTAGAGATTTTCGAGGTTTGTGAGACTGGAGGAGGTTACTTAGTTATGGTTGGGCTTTGAAGATAAGGATGCGAATGCCAAAATCAAGAAATTGCCATGCAAGGAGCCAATGTGGGTCAGCAGGCACAGGAGTAATGAATTTCTTGCAAGTTAGGATATAGGTCATGGAATTTGGAATGGGCACAGGTTTATGGAGGATGGAAAAGGGATGACTAGTCCTGGGCACATTCAAATAGTCAAGTCTAGAAGTGTCAAAAGCACAGAAATTTTCTGTAGCAGTTGAACGGTGATGGATTAAGTTCGGCAAAGTTATAGAGTGGGAATGGTCAGTTTTAATGATGCGTGAATGCGTGAAACAACTCCAGGAAGATTTATTTTGGCTTGGAGTAACAAGCTGAGAAAGATATGAGATCATTGTGTATGCTGTGGGAGGAAGAAGAGCTCCCAAATGGCATGTTACAGGTGGACCTCATCCACAGTGAGAGCTTGTTTGAGAGGTGAATCCCCATTTTATTGTGGTGGGATTCAACTAGTGGCAATGTTAGAAATTTCAGTGGCTCTAAATTTATTCTGTGTCCAGTCCTGGAACTTACTTTTTTTCCCATTATTTATCAAAACTAGATAAAGAAGAGAGGACTGCCACAGAAAAGATTAAGTTCAGAAAATGGGTAATTTCAGTGGTTTGGAAGTGTATGAATCACAAATCAACTGGATTGAAAAACCTGACTGCACAGTAGGCCAGCAGTGAGGGATGAATTGACACTGAAGTTGAGGTTGGGATAAAAGGGGAAAGGAGAGCGATGTTGGAAAGACCAGGGAGAAAAGCAATGTGGTTATTAAAATGTACCTGACCTCTACTTCTTGGCCTTTTCAACTTTCTGCTATATTTGTGTGAATCGTACACAGTGAAGTAGAAAATTTGTTGGCATTATGCCTGTGTATGGTGCAGACCTGCTCACTATGTTGGAATTGTGCACCCTGTGGGAACAGTCTCTCCTTGGAGGTTGCAGTGGAACTTTGTGTGATGCAGTATGTGAAGAATGCCACAGAGATTGCCCGAAAGTCCCAACAAATTATTTCTGTGGATTAGAGACTAATCGTAAATTGGGCTTGATTGCTAAGTAATTTGACTTGTTAGTAATGTTGTGCTGTAAAGTGAACATATGATGTAATGAATCTTGCCACATCCTGGACATACACCTACATTTCTAAGAACCAATTATAACGGATGTTTCTCTTTTCAGTCCGTATTCACTAGAATGGCAGTGATGAAAGCTTTGGAGAAGATAAAAGATGGTGACTTCCTTCAGTGAGTGCAGATTAGTGTCTTTTCCCCCAAATGTATTTTATATATTTCCTGGTAAATATTTTCTGTACATAATTATGATAGAGATAAATTCATGATGTGTATTAGGTTATATTCTGAGGAAAACCTCAGGCACTAGGAAAAGTACAAACACAAATAATTTAATTAAATAGAGTTATAATAGATGGAACCAAAACTTGCAGCGCAAGATCTATGAAATAGATTACGGGCTTGAATCTAGTGATGGACCAGGAATCAAAATTGCAAAACTGAAGTTTAGTAAAAGATCATACAAATTTCATCAATAGCCTTCTACAGGATTGCAATCCACTTCCTGCTCTATACACAAAGGACTTGGTAAAAATCGGTATGTTATCACTGCGTTCATTCAGCTGCTTTGCCTGGCATTCAGTCTTGGATAAACTGAAAGGAAACCAAAAACAGAAATTGCTGGAAAACGCAACATGTCTGGTAGCGTCTGTGGAGAGAAATTGAAGTTAACGTTTCTGATATAATGACCCTTCTTCTGAACCAGGAAAGGTTGGTATTTATGCAGAAGATGGGGTGGGAATAAACAATAGGTGGAGACAGACCCCAAAAAGAGAGAACAGCAGTAGGACAGACAAAAGAGTGTTAACGATCAGCATAGGAGAATTAATAGCTGCTAATGGGGACTATTAGTAGCTAACGGTGTGTTGTGTGTGGTAGCAGCCAAGTGATGACCAGGCCTGGTGTGTGGGAGTTGGGGTAAGGACATGGGAAAAGGTGCTTCAAGCCCTAAAATTGCTGAACTGAATATTGATTCCAGAAGGCTGTAGAGTTCCCAAGCGGAAAGTGAGATGTTGTCCTTCCTGCTTGTGCTGAGCTTCGCTGGAGCACTGCAGCAAGCCTGAGACGGAGATGTTGGCCTGGGAACTCGGCAGTGTGTTAAAGTGGAAGTGAAGCTCAGGGTCTTTTTTTGTAGCCAGGACATAGATGTTCTGCAAAGCAGTCACCCAGTCTGTGTTTCATTTCCCCAGTGTAAAGGAAACCACACTGTGAGCAGCGAATGCAGTAGACGAGATTGAGTGAAGTGCAGGTAAAGCACTGCTTCACCTGGAAGGTGTGTTTGGTCCCTTGGATACTGAGGAGGGAGGAAGTAAACGGGCAAGTGTTAAACCTTCTGTGATTGTAGGGGAAGGTGCTGTGGGCCTGTGTTGGAAGTGAAAGAGAAGTGGACCAGGGTGTCCCGGAAGGGAACAGTCCCTGCAAAAGGCTGACAAGGAAGGGGAGGAGAATATATATCTGGTGGTGGCATCCCACTGGAGGTGGTGGAAATGGCGACTAACGATCCTCTGGATGTAGATGCTGATGGGATGGTAGGTGAGAACAAGAGGGACCCTATTGCTGTTGTGGGAGGGAAGAGAAGGGGTAAGGGTGGAAGAGTGGGAGATGGGTCAGATCTGGCTGGGGGCCCTGTCAACTACGCTGCTGGAGAAATCCTGTTTAGAGGAAGAAGGTGGACATTTTGGAGGCTCCTTTGTCAAAGTTGGCATCATCTGATGGTAGCACCTTTTGCTTCTGAGTCATATGGTTCTGGTTTCAAGTCCTCGACTAGGACATGACGATGTCAGCAACAACCTGTATCTTGCACATTTAACTTAGTGAAAACAACCCAACGTGCTTCTTACAAATATTATTAAACAAAACATGACACAGAGCCGTATTAGAAGATATTAAGTCAAATGATCAAAAGCTTGATCAGGAAGTGATTTTAAGGAATGTCTTAAAGGAGAAAAGTGAGGTACAGAGGGTGGGAGGAAATTCTAGAGCTTTAGGCAACTGAAAGCATGGTCACCAGTCATGAAGTGATCAAAATCAAGGTTGCTCAGGAGGCCAGAATTAGATAAGTGCAGAAAAGATGCATTTAAGGGTGAGATCTTATAGTTGAAATTGTTTTGAAGAGTAATTTATAGATATGAGTTATAATATATCTGTTGTTCTAATGAAATGTTGATGTACCTTTTAAATCTCACATTCATTGTGCTTTGATCTTTTGACAGACAGTTTCCTCATCAGCTTGAACCACCTAAAAGCTCCTGTGTTGTTCAGGAAATTCAGTGCTCTCACAATTCAATCTATGTGGCAGGTAAGATGTTGCAACAATTATTTTTTAAATTGCCTGTTCTGGTTGTGATTTGCAAATCCGTGTTTAAAACATTGCGGTCATCGGACATCTGTAGCTTATGACAATGCTGTTAACCACTTTTAACTTTAGAAAATTAGCCTAACATAGCTTTTAAATTGCTGTTGCTGTGCCCACAGGTCATTTTTTAAAAATATATTCATTCATAGGACGTAGGCACGATTGGCTAGGTCAGCACTTGTTGCCTATCCCTAATTGCAAAGAGGGCTGTTAAGGGTTAACGACATTGTTGTGGGTCTTGAGTCGCAAGTAAGCCAGACCAGGTGAGGATTTCCTTCCATAAAGTGAACAGTTGGGTTTTGTGCTAGTTGACCTGGTCAGTTTGAGGCTGGCTTTTAGTCCAAATTTTTATTGAATTCAAACATTATCACCCACCATGGTGAGATTCTGTATAGAAAAGATCCACCAGTAAGGCAAAACTGGTAAACCACTATCAACGTAAAATGTAAGACTTCCAAATGTAAAATGTAAAAGTTTTTAGCCTTTTTGTTTAAATCACCTGATCTTCCATTCTGCCAGCAGCCACAAACACCTCTTAATCATTGGGACTTCTGCTCCTATCTGTCCAAGAAGGCTCTCTACTACCCTTGCAACCCAGTTTCCTTGTCAGACTGTGGCCTGTTCTCTCATGTTGAGATTCTTTGTGTTACCCCCGTCAGCATGTCTACTATAAATCCTCTCGGCTGTATGTGGCCTTTTCCTCCTGATTGTATCTCCTGAATCAGTACTAAAATTGCATTTTCTACTTGTCCACTGTTGTAAACCCTGTTGCCTATCTGTGGCCTTACTTCTTGTCCCTGATTTTGGATATTTAGATAGTTCTTATATTTTCCTTTTAGACTTGACTGCTTATCCCACTGTTGTGGCCACCGCAGTCGTCTGATGCTGCTGGCTGGTATCCATGAGCCTATTTCGGCAAGTGATCCCCAAACAAGATTGCTTTTTCATGTTCTTCACAATCAGGCCGTGTACTGGTATTTATTTTCTGAGCTTTTAAGTCTTCCCCTCTGTTTTCAATTTTTAGTGCTCATGGCTATGCAATTTACATGGTGCTTCATTAGCAACACCTTCTCCCACATTCTGAATTTGCAAATTCACACCTTGTCCCCACTACCTGTGAGAAATGCAGCTTTAAAGTCTGATTCCCACATCGTGAAAGTTTTCCCATCATGTCCATAACTTTTCCTGGCCCTTTCCACTCCTGTGTTCTCTCTCTTATAATAAACTGTGTCACCTGATCTGAAATCTCCCCGAGATTGTCTGCAATATCTCCAAGCTCCACGTTTTTGTGATGCCTCAGCTTTAATGAATGTTTTTTTTTCTACCAGTATCTAACGTGTTTAGATGTGTGTAAAAAAAGAACTCAGGCTGATTGTTATGCCTTCTAGTGCCAGAGTGTTATCATGAAGTATTGAAGGTAATTTAAATTCCAATCATACCATGATTGGGTTGGGCTGTGCCTCCCAACTATCTGTAAGAAGTTTTCTTTGCATTTACTGCCCATGCCAGTCCAGTTTGTAACTTACAGTTCAGCTGATCTGCCAGTATTTTTGTGCAACATTTAGTGAATTATTGCATAGCTTCTTTCACATGAGCCATTGCCAAACAGAGTTCTCTGTGGCAGTATGCATTACAGTAATGTTTAAGTTCTCATACATGTCCTGAACTTTGTCAGTCACGACCTCCATTACCTGTTAAGATTTATTGCTGATCCAAGGCAATTTTTCCATAACTTTATCCATTATCGTTAATTTATCCTTACTATTATGGTGGATTTGCTAAATCTGATCACCATATTCTACAAAATTATAGATAAGTGTTCTGATCTTTGTCCCACATCTTCAGGTCCATGCCTATTACTTAATTTAATTCCTGGGCAAAAGAAACATTTACAACTGGGCATGGTGGTGTCTTAAAGTATTGAATATATGTATCATTTTGCAACGTGATCTATTCTACAATGGTTTCACATTCTTTATCCATAACACTGGCGTCCTTTAACAGCGCAGGTGGGACTGGAACCTGGACCTTCTGGCCCAGAGGTAGGGACACTGTGCCACAAGAACTCAACTCTTTTTTTATTTTTAGTCAACCTGCTCACACATGTCACAACATCTCTGGAACAGGTGGGACTTGAACCCAAGTCTTCCAGCTTACTAGTAGGGACACTGTAACAGTGCCACAAGAGCCCCCATGAGCCCAGCTTTTTTGATACCGCTGCTAATTCACCTAAATAATCAAGTAGGGGCAGTGCAACAATGACCAAAATCGAAAAAGATGGGAAGACAAATAAAGGGCTAAATGAAAATGGTGTTGGAGGGGGACTGAACCCATCCCTCTTTTGCAAAAATATTTTTAATCAACCTGACCAGATGTTTTATGACATACCTCTAGAGTTCATAGAATCATAGAATCCCTACAGTTGGTGGGGCTTGATCTAGGATCCTCTGTCCCAAAGGTAGAGACACCACCTCTGTGCCACAAGGGACCTGAACACAGCTCTACTTTTGTTTTAACAATCCCACCACCAAATCACCCATTCACCCAGTTAAAGGATCAATTAACAAGCACTATGCACCAGGGCAGTGCAACAACAGCAAAGGGGAATGGTAAAGAAAGAGAAGAGACTAAATCAAAATGCGGAGGTGCTGTGTTAGGGTGACTGGGGTGGACAAAGTCAGAAGTCACACAACACTGGATTACAATCCAACGGGCTGATTTGAAAGCTTGAGATTTCAGATCGCTTGAAAAATTGAGATTTCAAACAAACCAGTTGGACTGTAATCTGGTGTCCGGTGACTTGTGACTAAATCAAAATGGGATTGGAAGGGGAAATAATGCAGCCCAGCCCCTACAGTGCACATCTCTCCCTAAATGCCTCGAGGGTTTTGGTGGACAGTGCATGCTCCCTCTCTAAGGACACCAAGAGTGAACATAGCTGCAGAAGTAGGGCAGGCACTCGGGAACAATGATCTTCACCATGGCCTGCTGTCTAGACCTGTTAATGGCTTCTTTAGCCTGACCAAGGAACCCAGCTCTTTTCTATAAAATAGTATCTCTTTTAGTTAGCGTTTGGCCAGTTTTGCAGATATGGCCTTCAAATGGGTTCATCAATAATCTTTCAGGATGGTGGGTCAAAGCGTTCTCACCTTTATAAGTTCATGTCCATAGAAGTTGTTCAGATCATGTTACTCTTTTTTTTTGTTTGGCTTGTTGGCTTTGACTTTTATATCTGCTGCTTTTTTGGCCTCTGCTTGGAATTGGAGTTTTAAAGCAGTTCTGTCAGCTTGTGCACCGATTTGAGAGTACTGAATGTAACTAAGACTCATCTGTCTCCAGAAAAGCACCATCTTGCCTTGAGTCCTCTCTCTGACTCCGATATGAATCTAGTTCTTCTTTTTCTTTTAATAAAGCACCAGCAATTTAACCAGTCAACTAATTAAGCAACAAATGGTGTCCACTGATACCCCCTTGATGGTTTCATATCAACCTATTCAGAGATGTTATTACCAACTTCTGGACTTGAACTCGAGCGTTGCCTGCTTTGAATCAATTCTGCGGCTATTCCGTTTGAGCGTTGGGCTATCTTGTGGTGCAGTGGTAGTGTCCCTGCCTCTGGATTGAGAGGCCTGGGTTCAAGACCGCCTACTCCAGAGGTGTCAAGTAATGTCTCTGAACAGGGATGATCAGAAAAGTAGGTTAAATTTTTAAAAAGCTTCTGTTTGAGCCTTAGAGCTTTTGTGGCTCAGAGGTGTGTCCCTATCTCTGGGTCAGGGGCCCTAGGTTCAAATACCACCCATCTGTTCTAAAACCTAGCACTCTAGTATGTAAAAAAAGGTAATAGGTTCTTTACCTTGCTTCATTTGAATGTTGTACTTTGACATTACATGTACTGTTGTTAGTCTGCTCAGTCATAAATGCATCAAATACCCCACATATGGAGAGTGAAAAGAACTAAAAAGTGGATACCTATGTTTTTCTTAGGCAGATATAACAAGTTCTCCAGGAGCCTACCACAGACTCCTTGGGTAATAGACGGAGAAAGAAAAATGGAGTCTTCAGTGGAAGAACTTATAGGAGAGCCGCTGAAAAAAATGTTTAAAGTAGATAGTAAGTTACTTGAATAAAATAAAATTCTTTTTTGCATTTCTGTGCCTTTTGACGACAATATAAGACTTGCCATGGTCCAAGTTTGTGACATGAAGTATTCCAAAGCTAAATGTTTGCGATGTGGTGCACTGAAGATGGAAAACACAAAATGCTAGACTTCTAAATATTGAAGAATTTAGTACTAAAACTAAGAATTTTGATGTAATATGAAACTTTACAATAGAGAAATCAGACAATATTATAGCCTGTGGAAATATGATTGATGCTTCACTGGAGATAGTGCGATCTGAAATAACAGATTTGTTTTCATTTAAAAGAAACTGTTTGCTTATCTCTGCTGCTGCAATTTTGCTGTTCAATGAAGTTTCACTTTGTCCATGTTTGCCTGAATGCATGTTCTTCTCAACACTTTATGTGACTAATTTTGTCGTTATGACATATATACAAGTATTGCATTTGTCTGTACAGAAAAAGAAGCGAGTCCCCATTAAGTTTGCTCACGCTCATAATGCCCAGACCACCATAACTAAACATTTTCTAACCCATTGCTGGGATACAGTATCCTGGAGAAGTATTAAACCCAGAGCCAGTGGCTGGTGATGGTAGGGAATCTTGATAATTCCTCTCCAACCTTAAGTAATCAAAACCAGCCCAGATCATCGTGTTGACCATGTGTCTCTTAGCTGTAAATCCATTTAACTTTAATATGATGCAATCTCAGGCAAGAACTGGTCTAGCTCTCAAAGTCTTGTGCATAAGCCTGAAAAATATTACAGAGACTCCAGAGGCAGCAATCAAGTGATTACAAGCACAGCAAACAACACAAAAAGAAATCCTTCTATTCTAGTAAGCCAGGCAGCCTTGTAAATCTCTTCTTATGTTTACAATGTAAGTTTTCCATGAGTTACAGGGCAAAAGAAAATGAAATGTGAAAGATCTGTTCCCATGTTAAATGCCATTTAATTCAAAATAATTTTCAACCCCTAATTTTGCCACAGAGTAATCAGCTAAAATATATTTGATGCCAGTGTTACGTAGTAAAAGTATTCTTTGGAATTCCTTTCTCCCACTTTCTGTTTAATTCATCTTAAGTTTATCCTTTTAAAAAAATGTTTCTGTTGTCATTCATCTAGTTAGATTATTGAGCATTAATGTAATAAATTAATAATTGTCATTTAACACTTAAAATATTAATTTGTATAGTTTTATCATCCAAAGAACATCCTTTATACCTGCAGGTTTAAACTTTTCCTCTTCAGGAAGAGAAGATGTTGACGTCAGAGCCTTGGGAAATGGTAATTATGTTTCAGCTTCTTCTGATGTGTCTTAATCTAAATGTTCCACAGTGTTCGTTTGGACTATGATTTTAAGTTTAAATATGTATACTGTTTCAGAAATTATTATTTTTTAAAATCTGTACACATTGCAATAGTGCTTTTTAGCACACAGAAATATGTTAAAACAACAGGAATTTGTAATTACGTGGAGGAAGAAAAAGGGTGTTCTTTTGCTTTTTCCTAAACCTTTTCACCCTCCAATAATTTATTCTTACTGTGCTAAAGAGAAGCTGGTTAACTGGTGAGTATCTGGTAAGAGGTTAAGGTCATTAAGGTTCAAAATAGTACAGCAGCTGGTTATCGGGTAATAAAATATATAAAAGCATACTTAATCTAAAGTTGAATGCATTTGTTGAGGTAATGGAACACATTAAGGATGGCAGGAGAGGGGATGCATCACAGTTGCAGTTTATGGGAGTCCCTAATGCCAGTTTGTTTCAGAGCAAATGGGTCTGCAGCTGGTGTTTGAAGTTTGTGCAGTGTCAGTTCAGACTTGACGATTGGTCATTGAACTATAGACCCTGTGATGCAGCAGGAACCAGCAGGTCACTTGGATTGTTTTTGCTAGGAGGTAGTTGCACCTCTTGGGGTTGGATCATCTGATTTGATCAGTATTCAGGGATAGGAGAGTGTAACTGTGAGTGAGGCAGCTAAAGGGACCCAGAGGGCAGGAGTGCATAAGTCCCAGCCGTTGCAATTGTCCAACAGGCTTGAGGTTCTTTCAGCTCATCTGGCCGAATGAGAGGGCCATAGGGCGGAATGCACTAACTGACCGTGGTACAGGAAACTACTCAAGAGTGAGGAGTAAGTAGGAATGTGGAAGTAGCAGTAGGGGACAGTATAATAAGGAGGCAATTGACACTGTTCTCTGCAGCAAAGACTGAGATTTCAGATGGTTGTGTTGGTTGGCTGGGGCTAGAGTTCAGGATGTCTGCTCAGGGCCAGAGAAGAACTTTGAGTAAACAGGGGAGGATCCAATCATTATAGTCCACCTAGGTACCAATAACATAGGCAGGACAAAGAAGGAAGGTCTGCAAAGTCAGTATGCGGACTAGGTGCCAAATTAAGAGGTAGAACCTCAAAGTTCAGAATCTCTGCATTATTACCTGAGTCACGTGTAAATTGGATAGAGGAAATCAGGTTAGAGAGATGAATGTGTGGCTCAAGTATGAAAGAGGTTGGTTCCGATCCACAGGCACCAGGACTATGGCAAGTGGAATCTATTCTGATGGGTCAATCTCTATCTGAACCATGCTGGAGCTGGTGTTCTTGCCAACTGCAGAAGTAGAAGTCTAAGAGAGAGTTTTAAACTGATAAGTGGAAGCAAGAAATCAAATTTGAGAGAGGTGGTAATTCAGAGAAGAGCCAAGGTCAAAGAGAAAGGTATTAATGTAGGAAATCATAAATAGATTGTGACAGGATAGGGTGGAAAATATGAATCCATGTCAGACAACAGGTGAGACTAGAATTTGCAGAGAGTAAAAGGGTAAAACTAAAATCTTTATATCTGAATGCACTTGGCATTTGAAACAAAACAGCTGAATTTATGATCTCAGCTGATGTTAGTACTAGACAAGTCAGATTCCAGACAGAAACTTGGATTGATCGATCATATTTTTATTTATTTTAGTTTAAATGAAGTGGTCTGTTGCAGACACCTAAGCTGCTATGCTGTAAAGTTTGCTTTAACACTAAAACTGAAGTTCATTCCATGAGAAGTGAAGATAAAATAATATGATCCATACTACCTATTTATTGTACAGATTCAAAGACTTTTAAACACTTAGTACAAGTATGACCCCACTAATCCTAAAACACTCCTTTTTAAATTGAAAAGAAATAAAACAACTTCTATGTGCAAATGTTTGAATGCACTTGTTGAAGAAGGAGTGGTTTGATTGGGAAACTGGACCTTATTGAAATGACATAGGGCGCCAGAAGAATCACAGATGTTATGGAGAACAGCTGGGAAAATAAAATTGAGGTTAGCTCAGATGAACCATAATTTTCTTGAATGACTGAGCTGATCTGAGAGGCTGCAAAGCTTAGTTTTGCTCTTGTTTCTATGTTCTTATGGGTAATTAGCATGTACTGAGGAGGTGATACATGCCACAGACACATAAGCCTGCTGCCAAAGTAGGAAACATCCTTGAGCAAACCAAACAGTCAGAGTGAGAAGATGAAAAGCGGAAGTGCAGCTAAATTGGTTTATAGTTAATCACAATAGACTGAATTTTAACAGTTTTTTGGGTAATTGCTAGTTGTATTGAGTTTATTTTGAGGGTTTTTCACTGAGGCCTACTGGACTTTCTCACTTTATCTTAAACAAGCCTCATTAGCTATTTACCTGCCCCACGGTGTCCCTCTCATCTTACCATGTGCCGTTATTTGACTGGAAGAACTTGGGGACACGGTGGCTCAGTGTTTAGCACTGCTGCCTCACAGTGCCAGGGACCCGAGTTTGATTCCACCCTCTGGTGTCTGTGGATTTTGCATATTCTCTCTGTGTTCGCGTGGGTTTCCTCCCACAGATCAGAGATTTGTGGGTTAAGTGGATTCGCCATGCTAAATTGTCCATTGTGTCCAGGGAAGTAAACAGTTACAGGAATATGGTAGGGAGGTGAGTCTGAATGGGATGCTCTTTGTAGGGCCCTGTGGCCTGCTTCCATGTTGTAGAATATTTATGATTCTGTGAACTTACCACTGCTAGGATGTCCTGGAATTGACTGGTATATTTGGCAGCTCCCCAGTGCCATCTTTAAAAGGCAGTTGTGTTCCTGGACAAGCACTGTCAGTCCAGAGCTGCCCTACATGGTTCCTAACACTTGTCTTGGACATTGCAGGCAAGGGACATTTAGCACCCCACTGTGCAGGTGGGAATCTGGAGTACCTCTTGGCTGGGGTGTTGCACAGGCAGGAACTCTTCTAACCTGCAATACTAGCAGAGGATCCTTGACACCAGACCATGATCAACTCCTCTGAGGTTACTACCCAGATCTCTGGAGGAATGCCCAATAGTGTAGGAGGAAGGACAGTGTCCTTCTTCATTCTGCCACCACTCTTTGATATCTCATTCTCACTCTCTCTTTCTTCCACAGTAACTACCTACCAGCAAGGCTTCATGTTCTATAACTCTCTCTATTGCCGGCAACATCATCTACCCCACTGGCTGTTACCCACCCCAACCCCCAGCACCACTATTCCTGCCTGCCCTCTGTACTGTCTAGTCAAATGCCCGGGACATCTCCCCACAGTAATAGGTATGCCACGCCCTTTTCATCTCCCATAATACTTGCCCTCCCCTCCTCTCCCCCTCTTCCCCCTTCTCCCCCCACCCATCCCTCTTAGTCCAAAAGAAAAGCAGCCCACAACAGTGTAGAAGGGTGAAGGCTGATCGTGGGCTATCTGACTCTTAGTTCTAGTCTGTTGTGTGGAGAACATCCTGACGCTGACTGGCCATGCCCAAGCCTCTGGATTAGAATTGGCATCTGTCCCTGACTTACTTTCCTAGGGTCCCTGACTGAAGGCCGTCGCTCTTAAGTTGACTGAGTACTACCGTCAAACCTGACAAGCTTCCTGGCTTTGTGACTGGACTAAACTGCACAGCAAGAGAGGAGTACTGTGAACCTCTGGCTGAGAGGGCATCCCTCGAAAAAGGAAGGCAAGGCAATGCAAGGCTATGATATTGTGAGCATCCAGGTAGTTTAAAGTGAGTGACTGCTTTGACAGCAAGTGAACTGGCCAGACATGCAGCCTAGTCTAGTCCATGAGCTGGGGGTGTCTCTCTGAGCACACTGACCTTGCAGCAACGTTACAGAATGCTCTCTGCATAAGGGGCTAGGAACTGAATGGTAGGTAGCCACCATCAGTCTTTACCCTTCTGCCCTGTTGTGGGCTGCTTTTCTCGTGGAGTCTGAGCAAGAAAACAGCATTTCAATGATAATTGCTGTTGCAATTTTGATGTGCAGAAACATCCTTTATGTGGTTTTGGAGATGTGCCCTGAAGTTCCTAGAGGCTGACTCATGTCACATTGTAATGTACATGATTTTAGGGTGCCTGTGGCTGGTGCCCAAGTAGCATGCCCGAGATGTTAGTGCCCAGTGTCCAGCATGGAAGTCCTTTGGAGCAAGCAGTGAGCTGTTGTCACTAGGCACCCGCTGTAACTTCCAAGACCGGAATTCTCAATGTCTAGCTCATTTAGTAAAACAGGAAGCTGAGTATTAATGAGGTGAGATATCGTGTTAATAAGTAATAAATTCTCTTAATTGGTAACTCACTGCTAGAATCATAGAATCCCTACAGTCTGGAAAGAGTCTGCATTGACCCTCCCAAGAGCATCCCACCCAGGCCTGGCTCCCCACCCTATCCCCGTAACCCCACATTTACCACCGTTAATCCACCTAATCTGCACATTTTTGGACTATGGGAAGAAACCAGCGCACCTGGCGGAGATCCACGCAGACACTGGGAGAATGTGCAAACCAAGGCTGGAATTGAACCGAAGTCCCTGGCACTAAGGCAGCAGTGCTAACCGCTGCCACAAAAACAAGTTGCTGGAAAAGCTCAGCAGGTCTGGCAGCATCTGTAAAGTGAAATCAGAGTAAACGCTTCGGGCCCATTGACCCTTCCTCAGAAGGGTGCTAACCACTGAACCACCATGCTGCTGTACCTAGTGAGAAACTCACCTCACCACCTGACAAATGTATGAAAGAAGCAGCAAGTTGCTCCCAATGTTAAAATAGGCGTCGCTGGACTTCTCACCCGATTCTGCCAGAAATCACGCCACGGACCACGTGTATTGAATGTGTGCTCAGGAAATCAAGTGCGATATTCCTCTTTCAATAATTATATGTAATGACTTGATGTGTTGATGAACCAAAGGCTGAAAAAAGTAAACAAACACTAAATCTGTACTTTTGAACTTGAGAGTCCCAGAGTCATTCAGTATGAAAACAGACCCTTTGATCCAACTTGTCCGTGCCAACCAAGTTTCCCCAAAACTAAACTAATCCCACTTGCCTGCTTTTGGCCCATATTCCACTAAATCTTTCCTATTCTTGTATCTGTCCAAATGTCTTTTAAACGTTGTAACTGTACCTGCATCTACCTCTCTGACAGTTCACACCACATATGAACCAACTTCTGTGTGAAAAAGTTGCCCCTCAAGTCCTTTTAAATCTTTCTCCTCTCACCTTAAAAATATGTCGCCTAGTTTTGAACACCCCAACCCGAGGGAAAAGACCTTGTGCATTTGCCTAGTACAATAAAGTCTCACAAAAAGTGTTAATGACCCCATTGCACTTACAGGTCATTTATCTGTGGCATGATAGACACCTAATATTGTACTCAGCTCCACTTTGTAAAGTACATGATGGCCTGAAGGCTGTTCAGTTCTTCCAAGAGTAGAAACCCAATCAGTCCCTATCTATAACCACCCTCCTTTAGCTCACTGACATCATGCCCTTTAACTCCATCTACTTCCTCAAAACAAAATTTACTAACCATGCCTCCTAAATTCTCATTCAGATCCTTTATATAAATGACAAACAACAGTGGACCCAGCATTGATCCCTGTGGAATACTGCTGGTCACAGACCTCCAGTGCAAAAAAGAACCCTCCACGATCACTCTCTGTCTCCTATCATGAAGCCAATTTTGTATCCAGTTGGCAAGCTCTCCCTGAATTCCACGTGATTTAACTTTACTAATCAGTCTACCATGCAGAATCTTGTCAAAGGTCCATGTGGACAACATCTACTGCTCTGCCCTCTTTTTGGTTATGTCCTCAAAAATCTCAATCACGTTTGTGAGACATAATTTCCCACACACAAAGCCATGCTGACTATTCCTAATCAGTCATTGCCTCTCCAAATGCATGGAAATCCTGTCTGTCAGAATCCTCACCAACAATTTACCCACCATTGATGTCAGACTTATTGGTCTGTAGTTCTCAGGCTTCTCCTTACAGCTTTCCTTTAATAAAGGCACAACATTAACCACCCTCTAATTCTCCGATACCTCACCCATGGCTGTAGATGATATAAACATCTATTGGGTTGTGGGAACCTAGGGGCACCACAGTTTCTTCCCTAGCTTCCCACAACATTCTGGGATACACTTGATTAGGTCCTGGAAATTTATCTACCTTAATTTTTTTTTAAGACCTTCAGCACTTCTTCTGTAAGTGGACTGTTCTTAAGATAGCAAATATTTATTTCCCCTGAGTTCCCTAGCCTCTAAGATAACAAGGTGTAGAGCTGGATGAATACAGCAGGCCAAGCAGCATCATAGGAGCAGGAAGGCTGACGTTTCGGGCCTAGACCTTTCATCAGAAATGGGCGAGGGGAAGGGGGTTCTGAAATAAATAGGGAGAGAGGGGGAGGTGGATAGAAGATGGATAGAGGAGAAGATAGGTGGAGAGGAAACAGACAGGTCAAAGAGGCGGGGATGGAGCCAGTAAAGGTGAGTGTAGGTGGGGAGGTAGGGAGGAGATAGGTCAGTCCAGGGAGGACGGACAGGTCAACGGGGTGGGATGAGGTTAGTAGGTAGGAGATGGGGGTGCGGTTTGAGGTGGGAGGAGGGGATAGGTGGGAGGAAGAACAAGTTAGGGAGGCGGGGACGAGCTGGGCTGGTTTTGGGATGTGGTAGGGGGAGGGGAGATTTTGAAGCTTCACCAACTTCACCAACACCTTCCAACCCAACCTTAAGTTCACCTGGACCATCTCTAATACCTCTCTCACCTTCCTGGACCTCTCTGTCTCCATCTCGGGCAACCACCTAGAAACCGATATCCATTTCAAGCCCACCGAGTCCCACAGCTACCTAGAATACACCTCCTCCCACCCACCTTCCTGCAAAAATGCCATCCCCTATTCCCAATTCCTTCGCCTCCGCCGCATCTGCTCCCAGGATGAGGCATTCCACTCCCGTACATCTCAGTTGTCCTCGTTTTTCAAGGACCACAGCTGCTCCCCCCTCAGTGGTCGAGAACGCCCTCCACCGTGTCTCCCGCATTTCCCGCAACTCATCCCTCACACCCCGTCCCTGCAATAACAACCAAAAAAGAATCCCCTTCGTCCTCACGTACCACCCCACCAACCTCCGGATCCAACGCATCATCCTCCGACACTTCCGCTATCTGCAATCCGACACCACCACCAAAGACATTTTTCCCTCCCCACCTTCATCTGCTTTCCGGAGAGACCACTCTCTCCGTGACTCCCTTGTCCGCTCCACACTCCTCTCCAGCCCCACCACACCGGGCACTTTTCCCTGCAACCGCAGGAAGTGCTACACCTGCCCCCGCACCTCCTCCCTCACCCCCACCCCAGGCCCCAAGAAGACTTTCCACATCAAGCAGATGTTCACCTGCACATCTGCTAATGTGGTATACTGCATCCGCTGTTCCCGTTGTGGCCTCCTCTACATCGGGGAAACCAAGCGGAGGCTTGGGGACTGCTTTGCAGAACACCTACACGCGGTTCGCAATAAACAACTGCACCTCCCAGTCGCGAACCATTTCAACTCCCCCTCCCATTCCTCAGATCCTACTCTCCCTAGCCTCTATGTCTTTTTCCTCAGTAAAAACTGATGTGAATTATTTGTTTAGTATCTCTCTCATCTCCTGTGGTTCCACCCATACACTACCTCATTGATCTTTAAGGAGCCCTGTTCTCTCCCTAGTTTCTCAGGATTGAGAGTCACATATAGTGAAAAACAGTGGGGATGGGGCTGGCATTTGAGTCCGCTGAGCTACTGTTGGAGGAATTCAGTATCCTCTGGACATCCACAGGACCTGCATAGGCAGTGAATTATTATAAAGTAGTCAATAGCATTTTGCAGACAAATGCAGAAATCAACTTGGACAAAGCAGGGCTCTGCAAATAGAAGATGGCCATACTAGGGATATTGGTTGTGGGTTAAATGTTGGCCAAGGCAATACAAAACTGCCCAGCTCCTTTTTGAATTGTGTATAATCTTTTGCGTCCATGTAGATGGGGCTTTGTTTTGGCACCTTCTTCAAAGACAAAGCAGTGCTGTACCTAGACAGGAAGGAGATTCCTAATGACTAACAGGGGAGTCCAGAACCAGGGGTCACAGAGTAAGGATAGGGAGTAGGGTATTTAGGACTAAGATGAGGAGAAATTTCTTCACCAGGGAATGGTGAGCCTGCGGAATTCTCGCCACAGAAAGCAGTTGAGGCCAAAACAGTTTTGAAAAATGTTTTCAAGAACGAGTTAGATGTAGTTCTTAGGGCAAAAGGATCAAGGCATATTAGGAAACAGCAGGCACAGGGTATTGAGTTTGATGGTCATGGTCACATTGAATAGCAGAGCAGGCTCAACCCTATTTCTCTAATTTTCTACATTTCTCACTTATTCAAAACTATTTTGAAACCTTAGCCTGGAATATGTGCTCCGGGAGACTGACAGACTCCGTATCAGGAAGTGCTGTGACCGAACTAAGACTTGACACCATTGATATTTTGGGTTACTAGTTTAAATAGATTATTTGGTGGCCTGAAAATTTATAAAGTTAAATATTATTTTTCATTGTGAACATTTGCCCATTTTGCATAGTTATTCTGAGAAAATAATTTTTCAACGTTTTACCAAATGGGTGAAACTGATTTATTTTCCCCTCAACACCTTTCCTGTGTTGCCAGGCCGGCCTTTTGCGATTGAGCTGCTTAACCCACGTAGAGCATCTTTTTCTCCGAATGAACTTAAAGAACTTCAACAGGTAATTGAGAAGAGTGCAGAATTAAGTTCCTTAGGATTTACAAAGTGATTTGTTTAAGCTTTAATGTAGTTTGTACATTCTTTGCAGAAAATTAATAGCTCTACTGATAAAATCCAAGTTCGAGATTTACAGATAGTGACCAGGTGAGCTTGTCCAATCAAATTAGCCTCCGTTTTTCAACTTGTTTTATTTACTAAACAAACAAGTAATTTGTTCTTGATTATTTTGTTAAGGGAGGCAATAGGACATATGAAAGAAGGTGAAGAAGAGAAGACAAAGTCATACAGTGCCCTAATATGGACAGAGAAAGCTATAGCAAAGAATGATATAGATTTTCTGCAGGATTTACAGGTACAAAGAAAACAAATTTGTAGTGTAAATTCAGATTTGCATGTTGTGTGCTAGATGCTTCAAAGGAAAAATAAACTTCCAAGACGAGACTGATGAATCTGATTCATAACTTGCATCTTTATAAATGTTGTTAAACCCAGTGAGCTTCAGGGCTTTCACTTGTGACTCAGCAAGAAGTAATTTTTGTGGGAGTAACCTGTTCAGGGGATTATTGTTCTTGCTGTTCAGTCTAAAACTAATGAACTCATCTCTTTGGGACCTAGTAAGTGCACCTTGAACTGAGTGACATTGACTTGATCTCCTGTATTAATTTTTTTTTGTAAGTTGAGTTCAATGTTTACCTGGAGCAAGTACTTAAGTTGCTTTGTCATATGGAGAAAAGTAAGTAAAATAGGTGACCAATTAGTGAATTCTTCAATGTAACCCTAATAGAAATTTGCAATAAATATTGGCAGATTTCTGTGGGCATGCTTACTAGAAAACAAATGGTGTGAGAGGTGAGGGGTATGTCGCTGAAAACTTTAAATGGGCAGAATTTATCAAAAACAGACTGGTTTGTTGGTCTTGGAGAAACACAGCAGGCCAGGCAGCTTCAGAGGAGCAGGAAAGTTGACGTTTTGGGTCAGGACCCTTCTTCAGAAATTTTGGAAGAAGGGTCTCGACCCGAAACATCAACGTACCTGCTCCTCTGATGCTGCCTGGCCTGTTGTGATCCTCCAGCTCCATACTGTGTTGTTTCTGACTCCAGCATCTGCAGTTCTCGCTGTCTCTGGTTTGTCGGTCTTGATGTTTTTCAAGAAGGATTTTAAAGAAAATATCTTGTAGTTTAGGAAGTCTGCTTCCAAAATATAAGCATTTGCTTTCAAAACTAGTTTGCTTAATGTTAAACCAAGGACATGTATGATGATACAAAAACAGAAGTTGCTGGAAAAGCTCAGCAGGTCTGGCAGCATCTGTGAAGAAGAAAATCAGAGTGAACATTTCGGGTCCAGTGACCCTTCCTCAGAACTCTTGGTGGCTGGGAAAACGTTGGTTTACGTGCAGAAAATAGGGAGGGCAATGGGGTAGGGAGTTAACGATAGGATAGAACCCAAAGAGAGAGAAGAACAGTCGGACAGACAAAGGAGTTGATAACGATCTGGCTGGGAGGGTGAATAGCTGTCAATGGGGACTGTTCATGACGAACAATAGGTAGTGTGTAATGGCACGCTGAGTGATAACAAGGCCTGGTGTGTGGGGTAGGAGCCTAGGACATGGGAGAGTTTAGGCCCTAAAATTATTGAACTCTATTGAGTCCGCAGGGCTGTAGGGTCCCTAAGCGAAAAATGAGGTGTTGTTCTTCCAGCTTGCATTGAGCTTCGCTATAACACTGCAGCAAGCCAGAGACAAAGATGTTGGCCAAGGAACAGGGTGGTGTGTTAAAGTGGCAGGCAACAGGTATCTCAGGGTCTTTTTCTGCAAGCAGAACGTAGATGTTCTGTGAAGCGGTTACCCAGTCTACACTTCGTTTCCCCAATGTAGAGGAGACCATGTTGTGAGCAGTGAATGCTGTAGACTAGATTCTGGGAAGTGCAGGTGAAGTGTTTCTTCACCTGGAAGGTATGTTTGGGCCCTTGGATACTGGGGACGGAGGAGGTAAATGGGCAGGTGTTGCATCTTTGCCGGTTACAGGGGAAGGTGCTCTCTGGCTGTGGGGGGTGTTAAGGGTAAAGGAAGTGTGGACCAGGGTGTCCCAGAGGGAATGGTCCCTTAGGAAGATAGACAAGGGAGGGGAGGGGAATATGTGTCTGGTGGTGGCATCTCGCTGGAGCTGGCAGAAATCGCATCTGATGATCTTCTGGATGTGGATGCTGGTAGAATGGTAGGTAAGGACAAGGGGAACCCTGTCACTGTTGCGGGAGGGAAGAGAAGGGGTGGGGGCGGAAGTGCGGAAGATGGGTTGGACTCATTTGAGGGCCCTGTTGACCGCTGAGCTAGGGAATCCTCAGTTGAGGAAGAAGGTAGAAATTTTGGAGACTCCCTTGTCGAAGTTGGCCTCATCTGAATATATACGACAGAGACAGAAGAACTGAGAGAATGGGACGGAGTCTTTACAGGCAGCAGAGTGCGAGGATGTATAGTCCAGGTAGCTGTGGGAGTCGGTGTGTTTAAAGTGGATATTAGTGGCCAGTCTATCCCCAGAAATGGAAAGAGAAACGTCGAGGAAGAGAAGGGAGGAGTCAGAGATAGACCAGGTGAAAGTGAGAGCAGGGTGGAAATTGGAAGCGAAATCAATGAACTTTTCCAATTCCGAACGAGACAGGGAAGCAGCACCGATGGTACCGTCGATATATTGAAGAAAGGGTTGCGGGTGGTGCCTGGAAAAGGACTGGAACGAGGAATGTTCCACATACCCCACGAAGAGACCAGCATAACTAGGGTCCATGCAGATACCCATGGCCACCCTTCTAATCTGAAGAAAATGAGGAGTTGAAAGAGAAGTTGTTGAGGGTGACAACAAGCTCGGCCAAGCAGAGGAGGGTGGTGGTGGGCGGGGATGGTTCAGGTCCTTGCTCCAGGAAGAAGCAGAGAGCCCCAAGGCCCTCCTGGTGGGGAATGGACACGTCAAGGGGTTGCACGTCCATGGTAAAGAGAAGGCAGCTGGAACCAGCAAACTGGAAATTTTGAAACCGGCATAAGGCGTCAGAGGAATCAGGAATGTATGTGGGCAGGGATTGAACCAGGGAGAGACGACTGAGTCAAGGTAGGAAGAGATGAGCTCTATGGGGCAGGAGCAGCCGAAACAATAGGTTTGCCTGGACAGTCCTGTTTGTGGATTTTTGGAAAGAGGTAGAAGAGAGCTGTGTGAGGCTGGGGGACTATCAGCTTGGAAGCAGAGTGGGGGAGGTCACCAGATGAAATTAGATCAGTTGCCGTAGTAGATATAATGGCCTGATGTGCAATGGTTGGGTCATGGTCCAGGGGAAGATAGGAGGAGGTATCTGAGAGTTGGTGCTCAGCCTCTGCAATGTAAAGGTCAGTATGCCAGACTACAATAGCACTACCCTTTTCGGCAGGCTTAATAACGAAGTCAGGGTTAGATCTAAGTGCACGGGGTGCATTCAATTCGGAGGGAGATGGGTTGGAATTGGTGAGGGGGCGGGGCAGAGAAATTGAGGCAACTAATATCACATCGACAGTTCTCAATGAACAGATCGAGTGCAGGTAAAAGGCCGGAGGGATGGGTCCAGTTGGAGGGAGAGCATTTGAACTGGGCAAAGGGGTCTGTGGAACAGGGAGAGGACTCTTGCCCAAAGAAATGGGCATGGAGGCGAAGATGGCGGAAGAAGAGTTCGGCGTCATGTCATGCCCGAAATTTGTTAAGGTGGGGACACAGAGGGTTAAAGCTGAGGCCTTTGAATATAGAACGTTCAGCATCGGAGAGCGGAAGGTTGGGTGGGATGGTGAATACCTGACAGGAGGTGGGGTTGGGAGAGGGGGATGGAATCAGAGGGAAGGGGAGAAGAGGTACGTTCCAGAGGCCTGTGGGTATCTTTGAGTTGTTGCATCTTGTGGGCCTTGATGCCTGAAAGGAAAAGATAAAGTTTCTTGTTAACATGACAAATGAGCGGAAGATGAAGTGGAACTGCGGAGTGGTGCAACCTGAGCCAGTGCAATGCGATGCTGTTGGAGAGAGAGATCAAGAGAGTGCCATGCAGTGTCACGTGCACAGAGTGTGGATCTCAGGATACGGCGAGAGCAGCTGTCTGTGGGATATTGAACATCACAGAGATATCTGTGATCCTGGGAGGATTCAAAACATGAGGGATGAAACTTCAGTTGGAATCCATGTGGGGTAAGAGTGAGCCGGAGGCAGTCACTGAGGAATGTGATATGGCTGTGGAAACGATTTTTAGCAAATACCTGGTCAAACGTCAGGAGTGACAGTGAAATTAATGTCAGTGGGCAAGGAGAGAGATTGGAACGGAATCCTGTCGGAGACAGGAGCAGAACTTCTTCAAGGTGTGCATGCCTAGAAGAGATGTGGCAGCGAGTTAAATACTAAATAAAAACCAAAAGAACTGTGGATGCTGTAAATCAGGAACAAAAACAGAAGTTTCTGGAAAAGCAGCATGATGGTCTATGGTTTGCAATTGAATAGTGAATTTCATAAATATTGAAATAGTTTTAAAGATGTGAAACTTTTTGGAAGAAAATTTCTTGACTGCAGAGTGTATATATTAACTTGCAAAGAATGGATCGTATTCAATAAGCCTGTCTAATGTTTTAACACCTTTCTTTAGGACCTAAAGCTCGACCAGAAGACTCCATTACGAGTTCTTCACCGAAGGCCCCTAGCTGTAAGAACTCGTGTAATACACAGTATGAGAGTGGAGTATATAGATCTGCATCATTTTCGTCTTTATTTAAAGACACAGGCTGGCACGTATCCTTTTTTGCAAATAAGAAAGTAAAAAATGAAACATAACTGTGATCTTTTTAGAGAATGTGTACTATTTTAACATTGCATTCAGTTTGCAGACCTTAAAGTTGAGTTGTTTCTTACTGATCCAGTATCTACAACATAGCCAATCAGTTAGACCCAGGATGCCAGGTTGGAGATGTTGTCTCTCTGAGAAACTGTCGACAGTGCAGAGTGTCTCCAATATCTCCTTTCTCAGCTGATGCTTCAGTGGCAGATTGGTTATTTATACTGGATGCACCATTGTGTGCCCTGATGCGGGTAGGGAAGGATCTATGTTAATACGCAAACATTGATATGAGAACTCGCCAATCCTTGCATATTGCTACTGCTGGTGACCTGTCTTTTTGCTCTGGACACTGGCTGATATAGCACCTTTTCATCACCATAACCATAATTAGTCAATTGGGAATATCCTGTAAGAATTATATACCCTTAAGCCTATATTTGGTCTTTTGACCTCTCAAAACTCTCAAGCTGTGAATTCTAACATATTGTGATCACTGCTCCCAAGGATAAGCACCCTAATCAAGTTTGCCTCATTACACATCACCAAATGCAAAATTGCCTGTTTCCTAGTGGGATCTACCACATGCTACTCCAAAAAAAACATCTTGTAGATATTCCACGAGTTCCTTTCCTTGGGATCTGCTCTGAACCTGATTTTCTGAGTCAATTTGTATATTGAAATTCTCCATGATTATTGTAATGTGCCTTTCTTACATATCTTTTACATGTCCTGATTTACTTTCTGCCCAACATCCTGGGTCCTGCTAGAGAACCTGTACATAAGTCCCATCGGGGTTTTTTTTTCTGGTGCAGTTCCTCAACTCTACCCACACAGATTCTATGCCTTATGACGCTATATTGCTTCTTGGTATTGATTTAATTTCATTTCTTACTAACAAGGCAACCCCGCCCCCTCTGCCCATCTGGCTGTCCTTGTCAATAGGACATGCATCCTGAATATTTAGTTCCCACCCCAATCCTTTTGCAGTCATGTCTCTGTGATGCCCACATCAATTTCACTCTGTGCTACAAACTCATTTACCTTGTTTCGTATACTGTGTGCATTTAAGTATGATAACCTAAGTCTTACACTGAGCGCCCCTTTCTCGTAGTTGTCCCCTTATCTGCTGTGACTGAAGTTAGATTACTGGCCCTTTCCATACTCTCTGTCCTATTACTTGTTCTGGAAACTTAAATAACCTCTCCTGAGTGCTATCCTATTTAGCATTCCTGCTAGGATCCTGGTCCCAGATCAGTTCAGGTACAGCCCATCCTGATAGTACAGTTCTGTCCTAACCCAATACTGATGCCTGTACTCCACAAAATTTAACCCTGTTTCCACACGACTCCATCAGTCGAACGTTTACTTCCCTAATCATCATCATTTCTCTTTGCCAGGTTACACGTGGCTCAGGTGATAATTCAGAGATTACAACCTTTGAGGTCTTGTTTTTTTTCTTTAATTTTGTTCCTAGTTCCTGATATTCCCCAAATGGCATCTGTTTACCCCAGCCTTTGTTGTTGGTGCCAACATGGACAACAACAACTGGAACCTTACCCTCCGTCTCCAGCATCCTTTCAACCTGACTCAAGATGTTCACCTTGGCACCAGGTAGGCATCACACGACGTGGGCTAGACCAGCATCCTGGTCTGTACTCCTGAAAGAGGAAAAATATAAAGTTAAGGCAAAAAAAAGTATGCCCCTCTCGTACATATTTGTTCCATAGCTTACACGGCTAATCACGTTTGAAATGGAGGAGACTGATCATTTCATTTTCTACCCTTTGGGATGTAACAAGCATCACTCTGTATCATTCCAGGATACCAACCACTCTGTGGATTTTGGTTTGTGATCACCTTTGGGTAAAGCTAGTGTCCTGTTTAATGTTATGGCTAATGGGATATGTAATGTGCAAATATCAATGAAATTTTCTATTAACTATGGTTCTTTATACTTTCATTTATCTGTTATACTGGAACTGTTTGACCTTCTAATAGACATTAGATTGCTTCAACAAGTTCTAGAATAGCCAGGTTCTAACTAACCTTTATACTGAATAAATATTCGGTGATATTTAATGTTTCACTGGACAAGTGGAAGTTTTCTGAACTGTCTAATAGCTATGTTAAAGAGTTTGTACATGGAGACTTTGGACGTACCAAACCAAACCTTGGCACCCTGCTGAACATGACAACTGATATTCTTGAACTAGATGTAGAGGTCAGAGCTCTCTCTCTATTTTTGTCTATCTTGTTTTACATCAAATGTTTGCTTGCAAGAAATTATGCAAGGCTTTTTAAATCAGGTTCCATATCTTAAGCAAGGTTGTGTTTTGTCAAAGAAGTATCAGCTTTGTTCAATTTATTTCAATTGAAGCACTGGATTTCAGTGAAAACTTCACAATAGCTGCATTACGTGGCTGCGGAATAATTCTGTGTGAATTACTAATGCTGAATATTACTGACAAAACCATGCATTTTTATAGTATTATTCATCTCCTGTGGATATTCCTCAAATGCCTTACAACCAGTTTATTTTTATAGTCCTTATTGAAGAAAAATGATTTTGCTAATTTGTATATAGAAAGGGTGATTCCAT